TCGGGAGCTCGTGCAGAGCCCCCCACGTGGCGGGGGGCAGCAGAGATCACCCCCTGCCGGCAGGAGTGGTGAGTCTGGGGGGGGTTCCTTTTTTTTTTCTTCAAGGGCTGGAGCTGGCCCAGGCAGGACACCCATGGCAGGGCTGGGAGAGCAAGAGGGGTGAGGGGGGTTCATGCAGAGCCCCCCATGCAGCGTGGGGCAGTGGGGGGCAGTGGAAATTGTCCCTCGCCCGGCAGCACCTGCTGAGTTCATGCTTTTTTTTTAATGAGTGCCAGGAGCTGGGGCAGCCACTGCCGGGCTGGGAGAGGGGCAGCGGATGGGCCTGGCCTGGCTGATTTGGAGATTTGGAGATTCAGCAGCCAAATCTCTGAATCAGATTCAGCAGAATTGAATCGGGACAGTGATTCGAATCACTGCATCGAATCACTGTCCCCTGAATTGGCCGAATCTGAAGCGAATACTAGCTGCTTCGCACAGACGTAATAAACAGGCACTTTTCTCAGCACCAGATGAAGCTAACAGCTGCAAATTCACCCTGGTTTCACCTGTCCCTGGGATTCAATGTCAAAGGAATCAGGAACATTCCTGTGTGCTAACATTAATGTATAAAAAAAGCCCTTGAGATCTGAGGGAACTGTGGTTGCTATGGCTGTGTAAGACTATCTAGGAGGTGATGCAGAAGATTCAAGTCAGCAGAGAAGAGCAAATCAAAGGAAGTGATTCTTGCACTGTTGACGAGGCCTCACCTGGCGTACAGCGTGCAGTTTTGGACTCCACACTTCAAGAGGGATGTGGACAGTCTGGAAGCAGTCCAGCACGGAGGAACAAAAGTGATTTAGGGCTTGGGAAGCAAGATTTATGACAAAAGGCTGAAAGAGCTGGGTTTATTTAGTCTGGAGAAGAAAACACTGAAGGGGGATTTGATAACAGTCTTCAAATACCTGAAAGGTGACTGATTACAAAAAGGATGGAAATGGGCACTTCTTAGCCTCCTCCCCACTCTCCCCGATCCTGTTCATCTGTGCCATCGAGCCCCTGGCCCAGCACCCGAGGCAGGACTCAGGGATCCGTGGAGTCCACATCCCGGGCAGCAGCAACTGAGAGGCCAAGGTCCTGGCTTACATGGATGATTTGAACAGCCTGTCCTGGAACAAGTGGTTGGTAGAGAGAGGCCTGGCGCACGCTCAGGTATACGAGGCAGTGGCAGGGGCCAAGCTCAACGTGAGCACCTGCCTTGCCGTTGGCGAGCTCGGGGACCTGGAGTCCCTGGGGGTCTCTGTTCCCTGTGAGGGGATCAGGATCCTCAGGATAGATTTCACCCCTGAGCTGAGTGGCAGGACAGCATGGGAAAAGACAGAGGCAAAGGTAAAGCAGAGACTGGGGCTGTGGCACATGCGTGCCCTCTGCATGGGGGGGGCATGTCATGTTTGTGAAGGCGGTGTTGTTACCAGTGCTTCTGTACATCGCACTGGTCTTCCCCACTTCTGGGCATGTCACCCACAGGATCCAGAGGGCCGTGTGCGTCTTCTTCTGGGGCTGCAGATGGGAAAAGGCCGCCCAGAAGACCTTGTAAAGGACAAGATGTCTGGGGGCACGGGCATGCCAGACATCCTCCTGTTCCTGTGGGCCAAGTATACGGGCCTGATCTGCAAGCTGGTGACAGACGCAGAAGGCACTTGCCTGGTGAGATAATTTGCAGGGCACATCCTGAGACACAGGTGGGTGTTCACCCCAACCAACCACAGACCGTGGCTCATGGGCTCACCGTGGCTCTACGAGACCCTGAACCAGTGCCACAGTTTGTACAGCCTGCAGAGCACAGGCCCCGTGACCATGAGCAACCACAAGAAGATCCAAGAGACGGTGAGGCTGAGGGACACCACGTCACCCGTGGACCTGCTCCTGGGCGATGCATGCCAAGCCGTGTGGGAGCGCCTTGACCACAAGGACCTGCACAAAGATCACAAGGACCTGAACTGGCTCATAGCCCACCGAGCCCTGCCAGTGAGGGCCCGGAAACATAGAGAGGGTCAGCTGGGGAGACCCAGCTGCCCGTGGCCCAACTGCCACAGAGCCACCGAGACAATCAACCACGTCCTCTGGCTCTGCACCTGAGCCAAAGAGGTATGGACAAGGGTGAAGCAGCTCTGCGAAGCGGTGACCAGTGTGAACTGGTTAACCAAAGAAGCGGCGCTGTACGGATACCTCGCCAAACACCAGGGGAACCCATCGCCCTGTTTCGACCAGTTTGCATCCTGGGTCAGGAGCGTGCTGTGGAAAGCCAGGAACCTCCTGCTGTGAGGGCACATGGACGTAGGGGTAGTGGGCTGTGTGAAAATGGCTCTGAGCGAACTCCAGACCTACTACCAGAAATTGGTAATGGAGGATGGAGAGGACACAGCCAAAGCCACCTGGCACAGAGACATGTGGCACAGGATCATCCAGCGTCCCCTGAGCAGAGAATTGGGCGGTGACAGTGAGGAAGAGGAAGAGACAAGCGGAACCGAGGACAGCAACAGCAGCAGCAGGTCCTCCAGCGGGAGCTGGAGTGACAACAACATAGACGACAGGTGAACTGAGTATGTGACCCCACAAGTGGGGCAGGGATGGAAGGAAAGTGTTGCCTGGTCTGAGGCACCAAGATTTGCTTATTTTAGGTGTCTTGCATGTGACGCGGATATTGTAAAGGGTTCGGGTGGCCAGCGGTCCTTTGTACGGCTGCACAAGTGCAGTTTTTGTAATGCGTGAAGCTTTTTTTTCTTTGTTGTATGATACTAGGAGTGTAGATATATATAACCTTACATATTTTTTTATACACACACACACACACACACACACACACACACACACATATTTTTACAAAAAAAAAAAATTCTCAGCCTCCTCCCTTGCTTGCTCCAAGAACCTTATGGCTAAGGGCAAGCAAAACTCAAGGGCATTCGAACCGCAAGCCTCCGGGCTTGGGCCTGCAAGTGGGATGCCCACCAAAGGTTTCGGAAACATCTGAAGCCCCAGATGGGGGTGGAGGATGTTTGCCGGTAGTAGGGCCACTTATGGTTCTGGACTGACTCTTGGGTTTGGAATTTGTTTTCGCTGATTTGGCTTGGAATGTGGAAAATTTAAATTAAAAAAAAATCTCTGGTGTCAGGGGCGACACTGCCTTGAGCAGGGGTCTGGGCTAAATGACCTTGTGAGTTCCCTTCCAGTCCTTCTTTCCTATGACCCTACGATCCTAAACCCTGGAGACAGAGTAGGAAGCCCCAGGACAGCTTGAAGAAGTTGGTAGCATGATGTGGAGGAAAGGCCTAGAGAGGGGGACTAGCTCACGGGACCTGTGCACTCCAGGCAGGGGAGCTGCCTCTAGTCAGTTTGATTCCTTCTGTGTACAGAAAAATGAGGGGTTGCCTTTGCAAGTAAATAGAACATACCACACCTTGAGCTGTTTACCCAGGCCTGATTTGCAGCCTGCCCAGCTTTTTAAGAGGAGACTTGCAATGACCACAGAGATGACCAGCCCTGCCAGGCAGTATGTTTGGTTTGGAAAGATGGGCAGGTGCTCACACAGCCAGCCAAAGTCAGACAAAGACACCAAAGTCAGATATGGGCCTGGTTTTCCAGGGGGAAATGAAGTGGCATAAGAATGGGTGGGCATGAGTCCTAGGCACTGCCTAAGGGTACCTTCCCTTCACCAGCTCCAGCTCCAGCAGCAAGGAAGACAGAGCAGGGCAGTGGTGCATGGTGCAGGAGCAGCAGCCAGGGTGTTGCAGATGATATTTTTTTTGCTGCCAAAAATCAGTGGGTTCTTTTGGCCACTCAGCACACACATCATGCCATGTCCCCCAGCAGCAGCCAACCTCCAACTACTGCCCCTGCCTCACACACCACTGTTGCCCAGGGGGCAGTACAGGCCATTTATACTCCTGGGCTAATGCCAGCATGCCAGGTCACTGGCCCCTCACTCCTCATACCAAAGACCAGCTCGGTCCTCTCTTGATGCTCCCTGCACTTCCTATCCTCCTCTGTGAAGAAATCCTGGTTCCCCTACCCCAGAGCGGATCCAACAATGGGGCAAAGGAGATGCGGCAGTGCTCACTCCCTTCCACCCCAGACCCTGCACCGAGAGCTGATCCATGGCCCAGCCTAAAAGGGGTGTAACTGTGCTGCCACACCATCCCCCCATGCACCTTGCCCCTAACCCTGCCACAGAAAATCTGAGGGGCATAGCACAGCTCATCTCACCAACAGCAACTACTGCACTGTGCAAAGAGAAAGCACTTCCCATCTGACTAATGGGAACACAAGCAGTGAAGCTATGTCAGCTTCTGTCTGTGCAGGTGGTAGGCTGTACCTCTCTGGGCAGTATGTGTTACCGTTCCTGGTCAACACGGGTTCTGTGTCTGCTCTGATTGAGGAGCTTAGTCCTTAGGTTCAGCTGTATCCCCCCAATGACCATGAGTTAATTCCCCGAAGATACCAAAGAATATGCAGAGGGGCATGGGCTGTAGTCTACTGGTGAGACTATTATTTGAAGGAAGGGCAGGCAGATGACAAACCAAACTAGGGGGTGTGAGGAGATGCAGTCTCCTCCCTAGAGAGGTTGGCAGGACACAAAAGGGCTGGGATAAGAAGAGCTGCTCACTCAAGATAAAGGCAAGATTCAAGAGTGTCTCCCTGATGGCCCTGCTCTTCAGGCCTCAGCCCATCAGTTCTTGCTCATGGGCAGCTCCCCAGCTTTCTGATCTCCCACAGAGCAGCTGCTGATATCCCATAACCTGATGCAGCCCAGTATCCTGCCAGCCTGCCCCTGATTCTCTGCCCATAGCTTCCCCAGGCCTGGTGTGACACAGCTGCCCCGTTATCTCCCAAGGTCTCCAGATAGGAGAGCAGCAAATTGGTGCCTGTTCCTTTCCCAAGCACCTCCTCACTCAGAGCTGCCTTGGTCTGGTATATAATGGGACAAGACCCATGGAGTGCTTTCTGTTACCCACATGAGAAGCAGAATGGCTTTCCTTTGGATCCTGCCCTGTCTGGCTTTCATCAGCACCGCCTGGGCAGGTAATCTTGATGCTGAGGGCAAATGCTGTAAGTCACCTAGATCTGGATGTGGGAGAAGGAGAGACTTGGGGCTGGGGCCTCCTGAAAGGGGTTTCAGGAAGGGTGGCTGACCCAGGAGGTCAGTGGTCCAAATAGTGGGACACCAGCCCCGTCACTGCCCAGCCACAGCTAGAGTGCACTCGGAGCCCCTGGGCCTCTACACAGTCATTCTCTTTGATGAACCCCAAGGGGCCTGGATAACACTATGATCTAGTAGGGATTACGGAGACCTGGTGGGACTCCTCACACAACTGGAGTGTCGCTATAGAGGGCCACACCCTGCATAGAAGGGGCCAGGTGGAGAAGAAAGATGGAAGCGTTGCTCTCGATGTGAAAGAGGAGTACATCTCCTTGGAGGCTGACGTAGGCTCCAAAAATGGACAGCTTGAAGCCCTCTGGTTCAAGTTGCGGGGCGAGTGGGGGCACACTGAGAGAGACCTAACTGTAGGTGTATACTGCAGACCACCAAACCAGGGGGAGAAACTCAGTCTGGAGTTCGCTCGAGAATTGACTGCGGCTGCACATGTAACATGGTTGTCTTGGGCAATTTTAATTATCCAGTTATCTCCTGGGAGGGACGCTTGGTCAAGTTGGATCAGTTGTGATCCTTCCTGACCTGCGTCAAGGAGCTCTTCCTGACTCAGGAGGTGCATGGGCCAACCAGAGGTGATGCTCTGCTATACTTGGTCCTGGCCAAAGGAAATGACCTGGTGACCGACTTAAATATAGAAGGAAGTCTGGGTGACAGCGATCACGAAACCATCATGATCACTGTCCATTGCAAGGCGAACAAATCGGATAGCAGGATTGAAGTCTTGGACTTAAAAACACAAATTTCAACAAGCTTAGGTCACTAGTACAGCAAGTGCTGTGGGACCAGGGATGGAAGGTGAAAGGTATGCATGAAGAGTGATTGTTCCTTAAGGCCACGATCTTTGAAGCACAAAGGAAGCCCATTCCCATGTGGAGAAAAGGTAACAGAAGAGCTGGGAAACCTTTTTGGCTAAACAGGGAAATCATGGTCCTCTTAAGAAAGAAGGAAGAGGCTTATAAACAATGGAAGCTCGGGGTGGGCCCCAAGGAGGACAATTGCACAATGGCCCACATTTGCAGGGAACAGATAAGACAGGCTAAAGTGGCAACCTAACTTAGATTAGCAATGGGAATCAACAACAACAAGAAGTTCTTCTTTAGGTACATAGGGAACGGGAGGAAAACAAATGGGACTGTGGGGCCATTGCTCAACAACTCAGGAGAGCTGGTTACCAGCACCCAGAAGAAAGCTGAATCCCTGAATGACTACTTCACCTCAGTCTTTCACCGGACCAAGGGGAAAACCATGGCAGATAAAGTAGAGTATGAGCACGGTAGCAATAATCGCCTTCCTACTATTGTTGTAGAATTGGGGTATGACCAATTAAAAAAATTAGACATATACAAGTCAGCAGGATCTGATGATCTTCATCTGAGAGGGCTGAAGTAGCTGGCTAATGTCATTGCAGAACACCTGGCAAAACTCCTCCACAGCTTGTGGCAATGTTGTGCCCATCCACAAGAAGGGCAGGAGGGAGGACCCAAGTAACTATAGGCCAGTCAGCCTAACTTCCATCCTAGAGAAAATCCTAGAAAAGTTCATCAAGAAGTCTATCTGTGATAAGTTCGCAGAAGATAAGATTCTGAGTGACAGCCAGCATGGCTTCATCGCAGGCAGGTCTTGCCTTACCAACCTCATCTCCTTCTATGCCCAGGTAACTAACCGCCTGGACACGAGAGAGCAGGTTGATATTGTATACCTTTACTTCCAAAAGGCCTTTGATCTAGCATCCCACGATGTCCTCATGTGAATACTGGAGGATTGTGGGCTTAACTCCAAGACGGTCAGGTGGGTGAGAAACTGGCTGCAGGATAGGACCCAGAAAGTCGTAGTGAACAGATCTGGCGAGAAGTGGGCAGTGGTGTCTTGCAGGGGTTGGTGCTCAGTTCAGTACTTTTCAACATCTTAATTAACGATTTGAATGTGGGGGTGAAGAGCTCACTGGCCAAGTTCACGGACAGCACCAAGTTACAGGGAAGTGTGGTAGGCTACAGATACAGGCAGACCTAGACAGGGTAGCGAGTTGGGCGGATCAGAATCCGATGAAGTTCAGCATCGAGAAATGTAAAGTGCTGCACCTGGGGACAAGCAACCCATAACACACCTACAGACTTGGCAGCACCAAACTGACCAGCAACACGAATGAAAGGGACCTGGGGGTAATAACAGACCACGGTATGAACATGAGCCAGCAGTGCAATGCTGTAGCCAGTAGGGCAAATAATACTCTGGCAGGCACCAATCGATGTATCTCCAACAAAACCAAGGAGGTGATTCTTCCACTCTACTCAGTACTGGTGAGACCGCAGCTGGAGCACTGCATCCAGTTCTGGGCACTGCACTTTAACATGGACGCGGACAAGCTTGAGAGAATCCAATGAAGAGCCACCCGTATGATCAGAGTCTTACACAGCAAGCCGTACGAGGAAAAGCTGAGGGACCTGGGACTCTTCAGCCTGAGGAAAAGAAGGCTGAGAGAGGACCTGGTAGCAGCTTCCCATTACACTAAGGGAGTACATCAAGGGCTCAGTTCACCAGGGCATCCAAGGGGAAAACCAGGGGTAATGGCCACAAATTCCTGGAAGATCAATTCAGGCTCAACATTAGGTAAAACTTCTTCACAGTCAGGGTGTCCAGACCATGCAATAAGCTCCCTCCAGAGGTGGTGCCATTGGCAATG